AAAACAATGTTCCAGGCTACGACATCCTGCGGCTCCAGGCATTTGTTCCAGGTGCGACGATCATACAAGTAGTTCTCTGTCCTGTGCAATGGGGAAAGAAAGAGATGCAAGATGCTGCCCTGCAGTGGGACAGAAATCACATAGCTTTCTGCTCTGGAGGTGTGCCCCAGATACCCTATCCTTCATCCCAAGGATGAGCAGGGGGGTGGGGATGGGGATGGGCATGGGCATGGGCATGGGCAAGGGCATGGGCATGGGCATGGGAAGCACCATGTAGAAAGTCATGGAAGATGAGGACCTCTAGAGTCACTGGGGTCTTGCATCACCATCAGCAAGCTCACCTACCATAAATAACACCGACTTAATTATCACTAAGCTGACAAGGTGACACTGGCAACTCAACACTCTGTCTCACCTGATGTCAGGTGCCTGGCTGCCAGCATCCAGGAAGGGGTAGCCCCAGAGGGTCCTGTTCCCATTGTCATGCTCGTAGGCATTGTAGAAGCAGAGGGGTCCATTGGTCAAACCCACCCCAGAGAGGACAAAGCAGGCGGCAGCACCCAGGAGCATCAGCTTAGAGAGCACAGCAGAGATGAAAGCCTGTGGGCAGCACACAGGGAAGGTGGTCAGAGACCAAAAGTCAAGGGTGCTCCAAAACACAGCTCCACATTATCAGCAGAGGTTGGAAAAGGGAAAAAACTCCCCTCCCCTTTATCCCAAGGGCTCCAGCCTCAGGGAGCCAAGGCTGAGGATGGAATCATTGCTAGGTTTTGAGCTGGGCCGAAGTGGGCAGGGAGCAGGGACAGAAAGGGACCTGCCACACGGAGCGTGGAGGGGCAGAGCCCATGACAGTGTGCACAGGAAGCCTGGTCTGGGGAAGTGGAATTATGCAGCATCCTACCATGGCCATAGGAGAGGTGGTAACCTGCCACAATCCACCACAGAAGAGGGAGCACTCTGTCATATCCCACCATGGGGCCGTGGGAGAGGGGAATCCATGCTACATCCCACCATAGGGCCACAGTAGAGGTGGCATCCTGCAGTGACCCAGCACGGGGAGTGGGCAGCCTGCTACAACCTGCCACGGGAGACGGGCTGCTCATCACATCCCACCACAGGGCCATGGGAGAGGTGGCACCCTTCCATGTCCCACCCTGGGGCCACTCATCACATCCCACCATGCGCTGCTTGGTACTGCTTTGGCACGGGGGGTCCCGGCACTGCCTTACGTTGCCACGAGTGCCACAGTCAGAGCATCCGGCACATCGCCACCCCATCGCTGTGATTTGGGTCGCTGCCAGCAGCACCTGCAGGAATGAAAAAGTGGCTGAGAAATAAAGGGGAGCCACCTGCTCCATCCTTTCATCGCTGCTCCACAGATATGTGAGGAAGGACGCAGCACAAAGCACGGTACTCACAGTGATGCCACCTCCCCAGATGCCTGGCATGACCTTGACGTCCTTGCTGATGTGCCCTTCCACCAGGTACTTCGAAGCCCCACCAGGAAAGAGCAGGAGGATGTTGGCTGCCACAGAAAGCGTGCCCAGCACCAGCAGGCAGGGACCCACAATCCGGCTGCACTTTCCGACACACATGGCCACCCTGTAGGGGGATGGGGAGGAAGAGGAGGGGATGAAGGGACTGCCTTTGGCTCCGCGATGTCTCACAGCTCTGAGTGGACAAGAGTTTCTTTATTCATGCTTTTGGGTCCCAGTCTAACACACAAGTACCACCCTTGCTTGAGAGCAATTTCCAGTGGAAATCCTACTTTTCCTCACACCACATGATTATTTAAATACTAAAAATAAGTTCAATGTTAATACCAACCTACTGCTGCTGAACAGTTTTCTTGAGGTTGAGAGATTTTATCACAGAAGCCCGACTTCAGACCTGCTAGTACTTCTTTGCCAAGTGGGCAAGGGAGTTTAACACGATGGCAGGTCCCGCACTGAGTCTTGAAACCTGTGCGACCCACAGGGCTGACTCCACCAAAATGTTGCTGCAGGAAGGAGACCAATGACCACTGCTTGGTTTAACTTTGAGTGCTTAGGATGAGCAGGAGGGAGGCAGAATCCTTAGATAAGGGCTTGTGAAAGCACATCAATCTCCAGTCAAGTCCAACAGCATCTCCATCCCCATCATGGACTACTAGGTCTGAATATGCTGAAACCAATTAAAGTTAACCGAGAAAAGATTATCACCTATCTTCGCTCAAGCGATCCAGCCCTGTTAGCCTTTTATTATCAGTTCACCTAGAAAGTGAACTATCTCCAGGTGATACCTTGTCAAAAATTAGCTCTCCCTCCTCTGTACTTGCAAGACCAGGAATGTTCATCGGTTGCTTTGAGACAGCTGAAAACAACCTGGTTTGGTGTTGTCCCAGCTTCCCATGTTTCTTCCACCCTGTGTTCATTTTTGCTTCAGGTTGGTTTTAGGCATTTTCTCTTTTCCTGGTGGCTTGTAACTCGTTATGCACTAGCTCCCTGAACTGAGCTGCTTCTCACAGTGAGTTATTCCAGGCTTGCTCTGGCTTTGCAGAAGCAGAAGTGACCAAGAGCCATGTGACTGTTTCCGTGGCAAGAGCTGCCTCAGCCCCCCTCATCTGTGGCATCAGCAATGGGGAGGAGTGGCTTAGCCTGCACGTCCAGCCTCTGCATGGCCCGAGAGGCTGGGGGACACCAGCCAAATGGGGCTTCACATCGCTGCAACCTGCCGGAGAGCAGCCACGCCAGCCCAGGCAGGCTGCTGCGGGCTAGGGAGCTGAACATGGGGGAACAGGGCTGCAAAACCCTGCTGCGTAGAGAAGACCCAAGACAAGGAGCACAGGGTGGACCACCAGCTCCACCCATCCTGGAGCTTCACCTCCTCTGTCTTCTGTCCTCCCTTGGTTATAAGGAATTTAGGGCCTCCCGTCCTCACTGTGGTCCCATCTACAGTCCAGGGATTGTGTGTGGTTATTCCCCGAGAGCCACAAGCACCCACCTCCTTCTGAGTTCCACCTCTCTACTTTGGAGGACCTCCCAGAACAACTCTTGCTCCTCTAGAGCTCACAGCATGGGCTGCTCTCCTAAGCCCCTTAACCTCTCCGAAGACTGTCCCTCCACTCAACTACTGCCCTCTCCCTGGGGAAGGCAGGGGTTCCCCTTCTCTCAGGAAGCTCTCTGCAGCTTGCTGTTCCCCCAGCACTGCCCTTGAGCAAGAAGCAACTTTGCATTAGCTGGTTTCTTCTGCCTCAGCCAATAGAGACAGACAAACTCACCCATAAAGGGAGATAAAGCAAAAAGTGCAGCTAAACTAGTCTCTGCTAGGACACTCAAAAGAAAGACTCCCTTCCCACCAGCACATCTCCACAGCCACAAGCAAGGGCATTCAAGCCAAGTCCAGGGAACCTGTCCCCCCACGTTCCTGGCTTACCTGAGAGTAATATCATGTGGAGCCAGCAGCATCCACCCCTCGCATGAGTCTTGTCCCGGAGACATCACCCATACGTGACTATTTATGATGTCCCAGTGTGTGCTCCACATCTTCCTCCTCTACCCTGAGGTCCACCCACCACATCAGTCATGATCCTTCCCTCTCCCACACAATCGGCAACTCAAAAGGAAGAATGACTGTCCTGTGAATGAGCCAGCCTCTGCTGGTGTTGCAGCCGATCCCTCTGTTCCTTTATGCTCCTTTCACTGGCAGAAAGGGTGAGCCCATGAAAACATGGACAACTTGACATTTTAAGCCTTCTACCACATCTACCCCATGTGCCTTGACAACTGCTCAGATAGCAAGCACAGTTTCTCCTGCAATGACCTGCAACGACTATGTAGGGAGAACAGTTTCCTCTCTCCTCTGCAGGCCGCTCCGAACGCTATTGATCTGTCTCTGTATTCTCCACCTTATTTCCATGTGTGGAAGCTGAACAGTTCAGATTTGCCTCTTCTCATTTTTACGCACAGGAGAGAGCACACACTATTTTAAGAAAAGCTTCTAAATAAATATTCTCGTGTCTCAGCTGGTTCCTATCTCCTGCCCTTTGCCTCCTCACAGATGAACCAGCTTTTCCTCCAGGTGTTGAGCACACCTCCATTACTATCTCACAACTTGGTGATAACTTTGAGAGCGAAAGGTTATTTCTGGATATCTTAATCATTGCAAATCATCAGACACTAGCATTTCAAAGTCCTAGTTGCGGTGCCCACGGCTGACAGTCCCCACAGAGAAAGTCTGAGAGTAGCAGCTGCAAGATGGCACAGGACCGGGAGATCACAACCTCTGTGTTGGAGAACAGGAGATAGGGAAGGCATAGTGCAAAAAATGGCAAAACTGGGGCAGTTTTTCTAGCAGAGGAGTTGCAGGCAGCACAAGCAAAGACAAGAATTGCTTATGGGCCATGCAGGCAAAAGGAAGAATTGTCTCAGACAAGAATTTGTTAGAACGCTCATATTCCCCTCATTCATCATGAGGACCTGAGGCACGTAAGCTGCTCGGGATGTGGGCTTCTGCATTTGCCACAGCCACAGCAGACGAGGTGTAAGTGCAGCTATCTTATAGCACTGACACAGTCTTGCTTGGATATACAAAATATATAAAAGTAACTAGAGTGCTACCTTTTGGTTTATAACTCAACTTGCTCTACCCTGGCTAACACCCATGAGTAGCATTACCCAACGTTTGCAGAGTGTTTTTTCCTGCTTTCAAATCAGTGATACGGGACCATTGCGAATATAAAACTTGCTTTAAGTATAGCATGTCGTTGTTTGTTGGAAGAAATAGGAAATGGGAGTTGCAGCCCCTGAGTGCCACGTGGAAAGAGATGAACAAGGCTAGAAATAGAAATAGAAATAGGAAATGGGAGTTGGAGCCCTTGAGTGCCACATGGAAAGAGATGAACAAGGGTTACATCAGCCAATTCTGTTTTTCTAGGAAAAATAAGCTGAGAGGAGCAGATATTTGAGTAACGACAGTTCCACTGAAAGGAAAATCAAAGTTTGCATCAGCGTGTAAATCCTTGTTTTATTCTTAAATTTGACAAACTGGTCTCTAATAAAATGCAGATAGTAGCAAAGGCAAAACATGTAGGACAACTGACTGCCAAGAAAAATGCAGTTTTTCCTTCCTCTCTTTTTTAATGAGAGAGGAAACATTTGGAAGAAAATGTGTTGCAACTTCATCCAACTCCCTTTTCTACGTCACAGCAGTCTGAGCTTCCGGCATTGCCACACATATGATCTGGTCAAGCACTTCTGTCATGGGTTTGAGTCTGGTGGGGCTTTTTTGTAAAAGCGGGGGTAGACTAGTGTGAAACTTCGAGACCCTCCTCCACCCCCAGGCAGGAGTGGGACCTGCCTCTGGCCAGAGCCAGGCCAATCAGCACCTCTGCCATCAAGGTATTTCAGAGGTGACCCCAGTGTTCTTTCTCTCTCTTTTGGTTTCTCTTGTTTTGAGCTGTCCTGTCTTTAATGTGAGGGAGTGTGTTTTCTGTTGGAGGAGGGGGAGGTGAGAGGAGAACAGAGGAACGTCACCCTGAGAAGAAAGGGGGAGAAGAGTCCCAGAGAAGGAGAGGGAGAAGGGTTCCAGAGCAGGACCTTTCCCTGAAGCCCGTGGTGGCTGAGATGGCAGGAAGGTGGCTGCCTGCCACTTGAGGGAATCGACAGCAGT